AGATCGACCGGAAGCACACCCGCCAACACCGGCAAAGCCTCAGTGCTAACCGTCCTATATGCCTTACACAAGAATATCAGTGCAAGTCGTTGGCCTTGTAACAGTTTGCGACGGACAGCGCCTACGGTCGCCCTATCGGCCCATACAGGTGCACCATAGCACATAGAACCTAAATAAGTAGCTCCGTATATGATCTTTAATGTATTAAATGATAGACCCCATGTCGCAGTTGATATCCTTGTCAATGCACAGAAACTCTTTTTAGACTTTTCATTAACTATTTTAATATGTTCGATAAATGAAAAGTTTCTTTCTAAAACTAATCCTAGATAACACACTGTGGTTTTATTTTTTACAGTAACATTGTCAAATCTAATGCTCGGCGGGGTGGTATGTCGGAATCGGACCGACTAAAACCACACGGTGTGCCACTCTGCGCCTGTAATAGGAGGGATCCGGGAAATGCTGTTATTAAGACACCCCTCCTAGCGCCTGCCCGCAATGGCACGGGCACCATCTTCGGGTACATTATCTATTTAGTAAAGTAAAGTAAATAGGCCGAAGGGGTTGGCCGGCGGCAAATTGGGTCCGAGTAGAGGTAGAGCGTATGACGGTCGGTAGCCAGAGATCCCCTCCAATGACTGCAACGAGGACCCGACGCTGCGACGCTCAAGCCGAAGCAAATTGCCAGAAATACTACGGCGAGCACTTCCGCCTTCAGATCCCACGGGGGAGTACCGGCCAACGCGCGCGCCACCTCCGTCGACACGGTGCGATATGACACAAACCATACACCAACCCGTCTGGCCATCGTGGTATAGTAGACCAAAACCTCCTTTCTAATTAGAGGCCTATGTCCAGGAGTAGATTATTAAATACTGTCGACGACGATGACTGATGATCATATTGGGAAACTAAAATAATAATTTGAAAGAGAATTGAGAATTAAGAATAATTATAATTATATTATATATAATTATAAAATAAAAATAAAATAAAATACTCAATAGATCCTAGTTGCAGACACCAGATCATATCCAACTACTAAGGTTGCTGGCACCGCTACGGCGCTTTTTAGTTAATTTTAAAGGATTTAATGCGCTCATGATCGATATAAAATACTTTGAATTGCCTGAGGTTTCAACTAGATTGCACTGGCTCGCAGACTATGATTCAGCGGTGCACGACCTCCGGCGTCGAGTCCGTGAGGTAGAAGTATATTCATCCACCTGCACATATTCGATATCATTGATATTTTGTTTTAGCCATATCGGTACCGTCACTAAACATGGGACAAAATCACAGTGAACTGCATTGATATTTTTGTATATCAATGGTGAACTGTGATTTTTGCGTACGTAGGTTAGGGTTGCTAGGTAGATAGGTTAGACGGTATTTAATAATAAATCTAGTATCTTTTTCATTATTATGTAGGGAACGGTAGCTACATATAATAAAATAATTACGTCTGAAAACAGCTTGTTAGCAAAAATGATGATGATGTGAACCGTCTCATACTACACTCACAATGTCCCTATTAATTTCAAGTTAACCCGACTGCGCATAAAAGCGAGGTGGTATAATATTTATCACTGGATTTGAAACCATCTTCCCAATTGAAAGTTTTTTTTTTTATTTCAACCGCTTCACGTACAACCTTGAATAAAGGTGACGTTCAGTTGAGAGAACTTTAGTTCGTTGTGAGTTAATGCACTGATTGGTGCCTGCTTTATCAAGCTTGAGCTTATTAGATTTAAACATAAGTGGAATATAATTACGAAACGATTTATGTTTTAAGTTAGCAAAATATGGAAATGTGTCGTAACGTTGATGGTGTGTGAGTATTGAAATAGGTGAATATGTAGATGTCACTGTGTGCGGATGTACGCACGGCTGAGCAGCCAGGAAGTGGATCAGCCCAGGGGCGCAGTCTCTCTCGTGTGATATAAACGAGGCAAGTGAGTGCAGATACGCTCCGCCGCCATATATGTGCGATAGCTACACGCTGTTAGGTCAAGGACCTTAGTGGTCATACCTGATACCTGCCACTGACGACCGCGTGCCTTGTCATGTAGGTAACAATTTTGCACTTGCGCTGTCAACTTGTATATACGAGTACAGTCATTTTTTAATGTAAATAATGCAAACTTTAAATTAATTGCCTATTTATTTATCGACAATCTGATAAGCTATGGTACTGTATTTTTTAATGGCATCGATATTATCGTTTTATTAAAAATAACATCCAGTCAGGTCCGTGTGTGTCGTAAGAGCCGACTAAGGGAAAAAACTACGCAGAACAATAGCACTGCAGAGAGAAGGAAAACTTGACACAAACCTTATACCAACCCGTCTGGCCAGCGTGGTATAGTAGGCCAAAACCTCCTTTCTAAGGAGGAGATGCTTATGTCCAGCAGTGGACTGTTAAAGGCTGTTGAAGAAAAATAAAATAGAATATTCGACTGTTTATTGCAATATTTGGATGGTGTATGGTGATGGTAGAACTACTATAACAGTAGTTCATGCACCAATTACATTTTATACATTATTTCGTGAGTTTTATTTCTAGCGCAAAAAATCGCTATTCGTGATTCTTGCTATTTTCTATTTCTAACAATCTCTTATCTCTGATTTTTGGAAATTGCACCCTTTAGGACCCCCTTAAAGGTGAAATTTTCAAAAATCCTTTCTTAATGGTTGCTTACAACATAAAGAACAATTTTAAGGTAGCAGTTTAGGCTCTGCGTTGATGAATCAGTCAGTCAGTGCAAGTAATTTTATATGTAGATAAGTATTTATTATTTAATTTATGATAACTATTTTAAGTGGTTAAAAACATAATACAGAAAATTTGTCTTTTAACTAAGTTTAACTGAAGCGCAATGCTACTATCAAGACGAAACATTGAGGTGCTCAATCGGAAACAGCTGTGCGTTGCTATGCAATGCTTGTGAGCGTAAGGTTGGCCGTCGCAAGAAGCTCGGTGAAAGAGAAACTTAGGCATATCAGAATATGACATCAGAATATGTCATGGTTAGTTTCTGTGTGTTAAGAATTGATTTGACATGGAGAGCAGTTGAGAGCATTGAGTTCCTTTTATTTTGAACTAGTCGGACCTCGCAGTTTCACCAGCGTTATAATATAATTGCGTTATAATATGAAATACAAAAATATTTTTTCGAATCTGGCTTGTGATTACAGAGATTTTTTCGTTAAAACAAACAAGAAAACTATTCACCCTATTTTCTTAGTATAGAAAACGTTGATGAAGCGCTCCTTGGGGGAAGTTTATTTCAGCCGTGGACGGCAATAGGTTGATGATGATCTTAGTGTCTCTTCTTTCTTAGACCTGATGTAATGTTTTAAAGTTTGAGATCCTATCGAAATGGTGATATTTTGGTTACTTTTTTTTATTTATTTTATTTATGTAGTGATAAAAGCGAAGGTTGTTTTGAGATAAATTCGGGAAATATTTTCTTTACTTCTTATTCAAAACTTAATTCTTTCAAATAGAGTTTTAAACATGATCGGCATTTTAATTCTTTAGATAAACTTGTATTAGTACCAATTTTTTTCTTTTAACTCCACTCATATTGTATATTTGCTTTAATTTTCTTTTGTAATTGGTTAATTAATATAAGTGATATAAATGTTAGATTTAACGCTTTTGTATTAAGTATGATATTATCGTTGGTTAATCTTAATATTTTTTTATTTATTTTAATAAATTACATTTAATGGGATTACATCTAAGGGAGCAAACTACGCAGGACGACAGCACTGCTAAGAGAAGGAAAACTTGAAACAAACCCTATACCAACCCGTTTGGCCAGCGTGGTATAGTAGGCCAAAACCTCCTTTCTAAGGAGAGGCCTATGTCCAGCAGTGGACTGTTATAGGCTGTTGGTGGTGGTGGTGACAAAAGAACTTCTTAAATTTTGAAAAGATAGCCTAATTTTGTATAATTCCATGGAAGAACCATATCTAAAGATTTAATCTTCTTGTGGCTCTGGCGACTTCGCTGTACTCTTAAAGGTGAATATTTTCCAAATAAAGAAATTAAGCTAAGAGAAATAAAACCAATGAAAGTTATTGATTGCCAGTGCAAGGGTACATGAAAACAAAAAAAATAAGCTGAATAATTATGGTATCTTATAAGTCACAACAATTATAAAAGGGTCAAAGGGTTATTATATCACTGTTAATTATCTTTTATTGGTAAAAGTTACTACCTATTTAAGTTTCAGTGAAGATTTGTAATTGTTTTTTTTTACTGAGAACCTCAACAGTGCGTCCAATATGGTCCAACAACTTACATTAGGACGGACATACTAATTTTTAGGTCATATGTATAAAGGTTTATATGTTTTACTTTCTTACTTTAAACTATTAAGTACTAGGTTGGTATTTGTATTATGGATACCGTAAAAGAAACGTGTTACGTAAAAACATTATGTACTTTCTAATTACTACTCAGCTTTTGAAATAAATAATTACTCACACCTCAAATAGTTATTGCAGAAGAACATTATTTTGGTCTCTATTAGTAGCAGTTGCGCGAAGTGCCTGCTGTGGTCACCCACCGAGTAGAATAGAGGTTCGGGTTACCCGTGAACTGACAATCTACATGCATGTATGTTTATGATAGCTTTTTTAACGCTGACGATTACGTTAGTCCGAGGCACTAGTATGAAAAGGACGCAACTGCTAAATACGAGTATACTAGGACTACTAGAGATATTTCCTTCATTTATACCCCGGTCCTCAGCAACTGGTCTCACACATAACGGTTTTAGTAAGGTAGTTTTAACTATAATTAATGCGTTACTTTTCGCAACATTTATCATTGAAAATCATTATGTCAATAAGCTGTAGAAAAAAAAACAACATGAATCGCTGTCGGTCACGCACCTCGTTAGGCGTGGTTAATAAGGGTAATAGCATTAAATAAGGATATCTCCAATAACTGTCCATTGTTAAAAGTATTTCTTTGGTTTCAGATTCTATTTTGCACGCTGAATACTCACAAGGTGGATATGAAGAAACTTTTAGGTGGTCAAATAGGATTAGAAGATTTTATATTTGCACATAGAAAAGGTAGACCTAAAGAAATTGAAATAGTAAAGACTGAAGATGCATTGGGATTGACGATCACTGACAATGGTGCTGGATACGCTTTCATCAAAAGAATAAAGGAGGGTTCCATAGTAGCTGGAATACCACATATTGATGTATGTATTTTGGTTTCATTGTACTTCAAAGTTATGTCTTTGTTGGTTAATATAAAATGTTATATGTAGAAAGTAAGGGCCCTATACATGTACATTAAAATAAATTATATGAACAAAAATTACGATGCCGCTGGCTGATATGGTTGCACCCTTTATAATTCAGTCCAGCCCCATAAAACAGTCAGTTCTCTTCTTAACCCCTACACTATAACTAACCGTCCGTCACTAAATTATATTCTGATGCCTCTTAAAGTAAAAAGAAGTAAATATAGTAAATAGTTATTTCTACTTATCTTAGTAGCCGATGATATCTACATTTGTTTCTTGCCGATGTATAATAAATTCGAAGAAGTAGCTTATGTGATACAACCTGTTTTGGGTAGAGGGATCGTCAAGGTTGTTGACAAGGCCAGACGACTCCACCGTCCCGACCGTTACGTATCTACATTATACCTTTACTTTCTACATACAGATTTCTTACAATAAAGAAAAAGGTACTCCTTATTACGCAACCGAAGTATGTAATAGGTTAAAAAATGAGGTATATTAAGTTGCACTAATATAATTGGCAGACTTATCTAAGCCTTCGAAATTTACTGACATTTGGTTGACATAATCGGATGAGTCTACTGAAAATACCTACTTACCAGCGAAATAGGTTTTTGTCATATTTCAAATACTTGCACCCCGCCTTGGTTTGGTTTTACAAGACATGTGTCATTAACGGCATTGATTTCACTTACAAAATTTAGCGGCTATTACAGCAAAAAAATATACACTTAAGAGTGTTTTATAAAGCAGTGTAGTCGTTGAGTAGTTTAACAGGCTCCATGAACGAATATGCTAATATAATATATCTTCAGACCATGCATGTTAATTTGCGTTGGTAGAAAGTCGTTGTCATTTCAAGAGAAAATTCTGACTGACATCACGATAACTGATAATTTCGTTTGAGATTGCGAGCTAAAATTTACAACGGGAAATGACATTTGTATGCACTGCAAAGCACAGTAGATTTGTATCGCAACAAAAAATTATAATTAATTAAAGTATGGTATTGGATAAAACACTATGAATAAGAATTAAATACGGCATAAGTAGGAATAGTTTAACAGCTGATACATAGTCTATCAGCGTTGATTAGTCATAGCTCGTAGCTACACTTACAGCAATAATTATTGCTGAAAGATATTTTTATTTTTTTTAACGGATTTAACGTAGGTACTATGCGTACTATTTTTAGGATAGTGTTGACTTTCCTCGCCCTATCGTGACGTATTTCCGCTGTTCCTAGGCAAAGTACCTATGGACAGTTTGAAACCTACCTAGTCATTGAAACTGTGTATATGTGTAACGATTTTTAACAGTAAGCATTACGTACCTAAATCTTCTAATTAAATTATCAGTTAATATTTTTAATAGATTTAAAAAAAATGATGTTTTTAAGTCAACTTTTATTTCTGTGTTTATGTTGGAGACATATTATAATTATTGTTTTTCATTAAACAAACAATAATTATCATTATAAAAAAAGACAAAATAAGTAATGCTAAAAATGTGTTTAACTAAAGAGACATTGCAGATAATGGATGATATACGACTACAAATAAATTTAAGTAGGTTATGAAATAAATTCTACAATAAGTTAATTGTAGTAAACTACTCTTTCTTCATAATTGAATTGAATAAGGAATATGAAAGTAAATACCATTCCTTTTATATTAATATAATAACAATTCGTCATAATTATGGTCATTAACTAACCATTAGTAATCATGGTATCATCATGATGGTATATCAAATACTCATTTACTAATAAAGTATTCCACAAATGCTGCAGTTGCAATTCATCCGTAATTATCATACCTACATGATCCATAAATAACTCACGTCATATTCTCTTCCGGGGTAGGCAGAAAAGGCAAATGATCATTTATTATGTTTCTTACATGGTTATTGCAAGTTTCTTTAGACTCTGTGGTTATAGCTTGAGCCTCTTTCACATTTAGCAGATTTTTCTTATAAGCTCGGCAATGACGGCTGTTTTGTACCATGTCCTTTGCCGGTACACTGCTGATGCGAACTTTTGATACTTCTTAGGGTCGGTGAGTGTGCAAGCATCAACGCCTTCTGAAGCGTAATTGAACATAAAGTTGGATGTTGACATCACACCATTGGTCATTTCATCATTTGTAAGGATTTTGGAATGAGACTTCTAATTTCAAGGCCTTTATCAGAACTAACAAATTGTTTATCGCCAGGCCCCCCCAAGTTTCATGTAGATCTGAAGATATGAGTAATAATAGTAAAATAAAACCAAATACTAATAACAAACTCTTAAAATATTGTAGCAAAATTAATTCACCTAAAATAATACAAAAATGTAGTATAGTGTTTTCGGCTAACGAAAATGTAACGTAAGTATGAACCGAATCTTTAATATTTGTGTAGAATGAGATCTTGGTGTCAAAACTGTAGTTATCAGTTCGACATTTAGAAAGAATAAATTGCTCTTGTTAACCTGAATATATTAGTTTTTTATTTTAAATTAATTCTTAAACGTAAAACGAACTCTCGACGCCGAAATACCTTACTTTATTTATACGTGAGTTAATGATACTTCTTTGAATGATTTTTTGTATATGCGTAGACGGTGATACTTATTTTTAGAAAGGACCGAATGTGGTAGACATTCTCAATCTCGATTTAATTACAAAAACTGCCCGAGCTGATACGTTGGCAGCAAAAGTAAAATTATACATACCTATTTCTATCTAGTTTCAACTTTTTAGGGTTTTGTTTCTCAAAAAGAACGACGGAACTCTTTTAGAATCAATCATTGTCATCAAGATTTTTATTTTTTCTACGGCTTCTTAAAGTTAAATTTTAATTTTATTGCTTTTACGTAACATACACTGGGTGAACAAACTATGAACTAGAAGTAAGTAAGTTTGTTTACTTCTAGTTCCATCCCATTCAAGAATTTTACTAGCTGCCTATCGATTTTGGACTTCACTTGGATTATTTACTTTTTATAGATGCATTTTGTATATTTAACTTAAAACTATTATAAACTTAAGCAACAGAATCAAATTTATGTTACTAAAGTATTTTTTTAACCATTAATTTTTATTTATTGAATACATGTTTATAGATGACCTTATTTATCCTATAAATAGATTAATTAATAATTGATTAATAAATGTTAGATTCCCCTATACGATTAAATGTTGTGCATTTGCGACCATATCTGAATAGACAATTTGATCAAAAAACACACTTACCTTTAATACATTTACATACCACACAATGGTAAGGACCATTAACTACGGTTGTGAAACATTTTATTTTTTTACGTATTCATCTATCTTGAATATAATAAGTTGTATAGACGTGTACCTTTTTATGAATAAGTAGTACGCTATCTTTCAGCCTTATCAGAAGGTTTCAAATCCACCAAGTTTATGTTCTGTTGCGTCTGCACAACACATACATTCCATTCGAGGAGTAAACTTGAGCAGACTAGAGTTCGACTTTATATTAATATGCAGGATGTTACAAAGAGGTATTGTCATATTTAATTTTAAGGAGGATTATATAAATGTAAACGTACAGCGCTTTACGTATTTCAGGCGCGATAACGATAAAGGTAGTTTAAGCTAGCCAATTTAAAACAAACTGATTAGGTAAAACTTGTATCTTCCAAACGAACATTTTTGTTCACGATAAAATGTCAAAGACTAGATCGTTTAATTTTATTACGTTAAATTGGCCTGTATTTATAGTAAAATCCCTTACGTCGTGGGTGTGAATACTTTTGTATCTAATATCACCAGACCTTGCAGCTACCGACTATTACTTTTTCCAAAATTTAGACAACTTTTTAGTGAGTAAAAATTCAATTCCCGAGAGGCAGTACAAAATGCCTTTGAAGAGTTTGTTGCCTCCCGTCCCGCTGATTTTTACAAGACGGGCATCAATAAGTTTATTGATGCCCGTCTTGCCATGCTTGTCTTTGCCAACGCATTGGCAGTTGCCAATGTGTTGGCAAAGATGCGTCGATTGCATGGGTGATTACTTCGAATAACAGAAATAAAAAAGTTTGAAAAAATAAGTACTTTCACTTATTGCATACAAAACGGCAATTTCATAGGTAAAGACCTATTATATACAGACAACTTCACCCCACTAAGAATTCCAAGGGAGGACGTGCTTTTACTTGTAAGTTACTTATTGTACTGTTAAGATTATTTATTTCATTATTTACTTGGTGCACAATAAAATATTAAATAAGAAACAAAAAACCTCACCTCTCAAAATAAACTACTTAAAATCGCGGATTAAACAGCATAGCACAGACACTTAATAATGCCATAACTGTGTGTGTCAGTGTCTGTGGTCATTGACCTTGTTAAGAAATGCACAGGAAATAAGCTATTGAATATTATTAAACGTGTTCCTTTCAAATTCAGGTTGGAGACCACATTGAGAAACTCGAAGGAGAGAATATGGTTGGGAAGAGACATTATGAGGTCGCCAAGATATTAAAAGATATTCCAAAAGGGTCAACATTCACGATTAGATTAGTAGAGCCCCTTAAAAGTGGATTTGGCAGTATTGGTCCAAAGACGAGTGGAGCGAAATCCAGTAAAAAGACAAATTATGGTTCAGGGAAAGAAACACTTCGGTTCAAAGCGAATGGACAAGCTACTATTGAAAATGACGTAAGTTATTGCTTTACTCTGTTTTGCTCTATTCAACAAGGATAATATAATGCAAACACGACCATCCTTATTCAAACATAAGTAGTTCTACCTACCTATTCCACTAAGACAATCGATTATGTTTAAATTATTAGACATTTTTGTTATTAAAGCTTGCAAATGCCAAGTGATTATCAATGAAATTGATAATTTTTATTACATTGGCCATTGACACCTACAAAACGAAATTCAACATGTTCAGTAAAAAAACTAGGTTAGGATTAAGAATTATTCAGTCACTCTCACTATCAATGATTGAGCTTGCTAACGTATGTAATTTGCTTTACAACTTAGTTACAAACTTTTTTATCGTGTGGAAACTCCCACACCTTATCGGAGCTAACGGTGAAGTGGTATGTTGAAATCACAGATTACCCCCTAATAGATCCGCATACAGGGCCACAAAGGCGCGCAACACATACTTGCACGATCACACTACTAACTCATTTTTTAACATAGCCTATAAAGTGTGAGGTAGGTAATTAAAAAGAAACGACAAAAAAATAAACCTTAATTTGCGTGTCTAATTATATGACGTAGCATAAAACTAGCTCAATAAACACGTTTCACAATAGATATTCAAACTCAAGCTCAAAATATCTTTGTTTCATAAAAAAATAAATTATGACAGCTATTTATTTATAACAGCTAGTACGAGTAGGTACAGATAAAAAAATTGTTTTGTCTTTTAGTTCTTCTATAGTACTGCCTACCCCAGTTAAATCCTTCCAACAATTTAAATTTACAGGTATCAGGAAACTGATTCTATGCAAATCTGTGGAAGATTCCATTATTCTACTAGACTTAATTTATAAAGACAATTTTCTTTGTAATTATATCTTTATAAGCATTTCATGATCAAGATAGTGACATTTACATTTCCTATAGGTATTCTTATTGGATAGTTATGTAGTTAGTCATTAATGACCAACAACAATAACTAATAACTGATTATATTATTATCGGAATAAGTATATTTATTGATAAAAAAAAAATAAAAAGGGTTTTTTTTTTTAATTCTTTAGGAGAAATGTCGGTAGACATCTTACAGAATTTTAGAATAGTCGGCCACTTAGGTCTTAGTTTAAAAACATTGTTATTGTTAACTATATTTTTTTAATGTCATCCCAGCCATTTTTTTTCTCAGGAGAGACCTTATACTAACAGTGCAGAATCGGGTAAGTAATTTATTAAAAATTTACAAAAAAAAACATCAATTAAATTGTTATTACATACATAACTATACAATAATATGTACTTAAAATCATCTATCATGTAATTGATAATTAGTCCCATACATATTGGCTATACATGTGGTGACGTATTAAGAATACGGAGTGTCACTACCCCTATTCATTCCATGGGTGTCGTAAGACGCGACTAAAGAAGCCAACTACTCAGGACAACAACACTGCAAAGGCAAACTTGAAAACAAAACCTATACCAATCCGTCAGGCCAAAAATCACCACTATATAGTAGTATACCACTATAATACGCCAAAACCACCTTTCTAAGGAGAGGCCTATGTCCAGCCGGTGGACTACTCAAGACTGTTGATTGGATTGATTAATTGTTATATTTTGTGAAAAGTTGATTGAGGTTGTAAGAGTTGTGGTCATTATTATTGTGTTGTATTGATGCATTTATATTAATAAAAACTTGGAATATTTTATATTTTTACTACTCACATATAATGTACATTTGTTATTACGTTATTTTAAGAGTTAGTTTTATTATTAAATGATAAATTCTGACATCATTTATTAACCAATTACATGATAGATGATGGTAAGTACAAATTATTGTATAGTTATGTATGGAATAAAAATTTGATTGATGTTTTTTTTGTATAATATTTTTAATAAATTAGTTACCCGATTTTGCAGTGTTACTACTCGCATAAGGACTCTCCTGCGAAAAAAATGGCTTGAATGACATTTTGCGAAAATGACGTTTTTCGAAAGTGACATTGTGTGAAAATCTAAGATAAAGAAAATAAAGTTTTGAGAAAATGATGTTTCGCAAAACTGTCATTTTTTGAAAGTGACTAATATTTTTACGTTGACTGTGTCAAGACCGCTGGCTCTGTAACTGGATTTTCTGAAATGCTATGCAATTTAACCTTATCTAATTAATTATTTAGTCATGCATTCCTTCAATGACTGTATGTATTATTAAATAATAACGTCATCATTATTCCTTCGGATACATGCCAGATAGGTTTAAATTAAGCTTTCAAATGTCAGTGAAATATCTTAAAGAACCAGTATCAACTGCTATGAAATATCTTCGTCATGGGGATTTTCACCGATATAATGATATATGTAGGTATATGTATAGAGTACCGATAGACACAGCACTAACGATAGAACAGACACCAATGTCTGATGACATTGAGCCATGCAAGCTGTTAATTGCATTACGCAACTATCTCGAATGTTAACCGCTTTGTCTACTAACCTAAAACACGGCAACGTTTACGTGTAGATTTATTGAACAACTATCAAGTTAACGGTATATTACTGCTTTTAAATCATAGGTTTTATAACCATGTGATATTTTGTAACTACGTATTATATTGCATTGTTTATTAGTAAGAGGATAAAAGGGTCTTTCTTGTTGTTTAATTGTTTACATATTTACATTGTTATTTTAGTAGTTAGGTGCTTAGTGAAAAATCATTTTCTGTTTATTGGAGCGTTTCTCTTGGTATATTTGATTGAAAAAACTAAGGAACAAAAAATATCATTTGTTAAATGTATATTTTAGAACATTCTGAACATCCTACCTACATAAATACATGTGGCCGGGCTGCAACGTATACGGTGCTTCCCGGCCACAATTAAATAGCTTTTTTACATTTAATCTATTCATTGTTACTGCTAGAACAATAAAATAACATTTGATTGATAAGTCTATAAATTACGAAATCGACTGTGACCAGGCTGCGCCGCATCACGCGAAGAAGGGACGCTTTATATGTATTATCGACTTTTCAATCTCTGTTCTGAAAACCTATTTATTGTTTTTTATGACTAGTTATATAATAATATATAATCAAAAATAAACTAGCTAATTTCATCTGTTTTCTTCTTTCTCCTATAACTGTAAAGAAAATTATACACTAAAATATCGATTTAGTTTTTTAATTTAGTTAATGTAAGTTGTATAATGCATAATAAGTAGGTATGACAAAAATTAAATTAAATCGATTTAAAATTATAAGTGTGTCACTACTGTGCACATATATTAAAGCAAAGGCTTTCTGTTTTAGGCGGTTTGAATCTGACATAATCGTATGATGTGTACTCGTACCAGAAGGTTTTCACACGGCAGACAAACAGATGTATTATTATGACTTTTGTAGTTTAATGACGGTTTTTTTTTTATTTCAGCACGATGATATATCTAAAGCAGGAATTGAGAAGATCAACAGTTTACTAGAATCTTTCATGGGCATCAACGACACAGACCTTGCGACACAAATGTGGGACCTTGCCGAAGGAAAAACTAACTCTATGCAACTAGCAAATGCCATAGATGACAGCGATCTGCAAGTGTTCGGCTTTACAGATGAGTTTATTATAGAATTATGGGGAGTTATTACTGATGCTAGATCTGGTAGACTGAGTTAGAATGCTTTTAAGGACCTGTACAATCAAATGAACATTTCATTTACTTTCATTGCCATTTTCGTCATTGAGCATAGTTTCTAAATGAATTACATGTTAAAGTGTAATAATGTAAATATCATTGATGACATGTCTAAAATGTTTAAATCATTTAACGATTACATCACTTTCAAAGTGTCGACGTACCTGTTCCATCAATGTCGTAGACTTTTTGATTAACTGTTGACCGATGTAGTGTTTGTCTGATGAGAACACCGCCATAACAGCAAAATTAGTAACGTGACTGGCTCTTACAATGAGTAGGTAATACCAGTATTACATCATATTTTAATGTCTGTGTTCTGTACTGTTTTACAATATGTAAATATAGTTTATGATCTATTTCTACTCTCTGACTTTCGTACTTGACGTGCCAGTAATTTGGTCTGTCGATTGAAATTGGTAACTTACTTCTATCAATCGTTGTTAAATTGATATTATGGCAGAAATTAATGTTCTATTGCCTCCGGCGAGGAACTAAATCATAATAATAAATTGATCAACGCAAAAATAAACTAGCTGTTTCAACCACACGTAACCAAAATTCTGTGTTCCATTTATGCGAATGTGTTATTTAGAGAGGTTTACTTATATAGTATTTGCCTTTACTTACCTTACTACTTATTTAATTAAGCATAGTTTTAACAAATAAAGAGCCGAAAAAAGATTCAAGGACTGTGTAAGATTTTTTATAAATGAATAATAAAAATAGAGTAAAACAACACTAAGCAATAAGAAGGACTATTGTGTAAATAAAGCAAGTTGAAAGTGGTGTAATTTTAATTGTTTTGTATAAAACAATTAATATTACATACAAAATGTATAAATTTGTATGTTGCCTTTAAACTTATATTTTAATAATGATGTTCGTCGTTAGGAATATGTTGGTACTCAGAGTTTTAGTTGGTAAACTATGAAATAATAAAATTAATAAAATAATAAACTTCTACAAAAGATACTCTTCAAGAAAAGATGTAAAAGAGTAATTTTTTAAAGTTTTTAGCTTACCTGATTTATGTAAGTATGTAAACTAAACTGTCAATTTCGCAGTTTATAAACTATGGCGAATTCGTTTCAGCTAATAAAAAATATCAGTTTCCTACTGGAATTAGATACTTAGTAGGTTCTCACTCTTAAGATATTTGTAAGATAAATATTTTAGAGGGGATCATATTTACATTACTTATATTATTAGAAATATTTACAAAGAACCATAATCTATACAAAGAATCAATCATAGTCAATAGTATACGTACCTAAAGAAACTTACGAGGCAATTTAGGTTTAAATCTATAAATTATCGTGAGCAGTCTATTAAACGCATTGCATAATGGAAATAAATCACCTGAGCTTCTTATACAAACAAAAACTTTGCTTAGCTTATTTTTCTGAAACTTGCATTGAACATTAACATGTTTAAACTGTGTTTCACGTTATGCAATTAATGTATTTAATACTGTACCTAATCATTATAGGGACCTACCTAGATAAAATTGCGATAAAAGTCAGTTACATTACTAGAGTAAGACTAGACCTAGATTTAATTAAAATAGTTATTTATTTTCATGTATCATAACTTCCTACATAAAAAATAACATGCTTACATATTTATAAAGTTTATGGTCTTTCTATCATTTTATCTTTCTTTTAATAGATTACCTACCTGTGTAAATAGCACTAGTTTCGTAAATGTAACTAAAGAGAAAAGTAGATATTATAATGTATGTACATTTACAAATATTTAGTAGGTACAAGTAGTTATATATTTTGTATAGTTATGTTGTTGTAGTACATTTCGTTAGGTTTTATTATAGAGGTAAGGAAAATCGTTCCGTTTACTGCTTATGTAATAAATATAATATACTCGTATTGTCAATAGAGAGCAGTTGTTAAACAAAGTCCTTCATTTGATTGTCCACAGAATCTTTTTTGTTATTTTTAAGTATAAATCTTTATGGTAAATATTAAGCTTTATTTAAACAAATACTTATTGATGATATTGGGATTTATTGTTAAAGCAGTTAATGTATTTTAAGAAAATTTATTAATCTATTTATTTGATATTGTTAATCGATTTACTTGACATTGCCTATGTCAAAGAAATAGAATAGTATATTCCCTTAATCTATAAACAGTGCCAGATTAAGGTGCCCAAAGCAATAAGCAATCTTCCCCTGTAGGCCCCCCTATCCTTAAGTAAACTACAAAGAATTAATTTAAGAGCAGTGAGGTCATGACTGCAACCGAACCTAACGTCAACGACAATTTAAAACGCGCGGATTTTAAAATTGATTGATTTAACTTTCGTGTGCTCGTTTTTTTGTCTCGGTCGTCCCTGGTGCTTACGAGAACCGGTAGACAGTTTACATCAAATATATTTATGTAAATATATATCTTTTTCTTGTTTACATGAACATATAGATTTACATAAAAAAAATCTATTCAACATTCTATTCTTCATTGATCATATTTTTTCGCAACTTACTCTTAATACTTATAGGTACAATAATACATTATAGATAACAGGACCAGTGTTATCTATAATGTGTCGAACTATACTTCCTGCTTTATATTTTTTCATGTTTAATGGCAATTTGTAAAAAAGTGGCAAGAAGTGTTTATTGGATGGCGAAACTGGCAGTGAACGTAAATGTAGATCAAGCATTTTTTAGTCGCTATAGCGCGAAAGAGACATTATAATGAAACATGTTTCTTAACTTGTGAAGTCATTAATATTAGATAAAAAAAGTCTTTACTGTAAGCCTTACTTATTTAATAATATATTATATAGGTGCACATTATTATGAATTAAATATTTTCTGTATTTATATTTTACTTTTATTAGAAACGACCTGCCACTGTACATGTAGCTGGTTGAATAAATCATTAAGATGAAGGTGAAATTGCTTTTGTCCCTTTCGACGCTCATAGATGCATTGTTATTGGCTGATCAGTGGATCCTTGTATCCCGCATGCGTGTTCCGCTCATAAATAAACAAATTGGTAGCAGGGCAATTGATTGGTACAAGCAACCCAAAGATCGCCGACCTAGTTATTATTTTTTACATTAAGAATATTGACATCAGGCGACTGAGGCGACATTGTAGTAACAATTCATTCGGAACTTAGAATAAGGTTCGATTCCCGTGTTTTATTAATACTAGCCTAGGGATCCGGGAACAGCTGTTGTTAAGGCATCCGGACCCCTCCTAGCGCCAGCCCGCTCCTGGTGCGGGCTCCGTCTCAATATTTTTCCTCTCTTTAGGCGACGTCCGGCACACGCGGACGCCTCTTGTGCCGACACCTCAAATTACCTTCTCGGTCCTCGTACACGACGGTACGCTCCTCTAAATAGTCTGCCACTAGCCGCCTCAGGTACTTTGGCACCCCATGATAGTGGAGTGCTTCCCTGATGCAGCTGAATGGCAGACTATTGAATGCGTTGGCGATGTCTAATGACACCGCCAACAGCACGCCGCCACAGCTCACGGCCTCTTCGGTCACGGCCCTCAGGCGCAACACGGCGTCGACTGTCGAACGCCCCGCCCGAAAACCAAATTGGGCGTCCGACAGATCGGGGCCCACCTCGCAGAGGTGCCGGACGATGCGGGCAGAAAGAACCCTCTCAAACAATTTACCCGCCTCGTCCAGCAGCACGATGGGCCTATAGGCCGCGACCGAATCGGCAGGCCGTCCCGGCTTCCTTAATAGGACCAGCTTCCCGCTCTTCCAGCACTCAGGGAAGCGTCCCGACACCAAGCTAGCGTCGAACACCTCCCCGAGGCGGTCTGCCATGTGGTTGAGGGCCAGGGCCAGCACTCGGGCCGGTACCCCGTCTGGCCCAGGGGCGGTGTTCTTGGAACGGATCCGTAGAACAGCCGCCCCTACCTCCGAATCCCGGACGGGCGGAACATCATCCTCCTCGTGCTCCCCGTCGTCTCCGGCCAAGGAGGCCATCGCCGGGGGAGTGTGTTCCGCTCGTTGCGGGAAAAGGCCCTCAACCACTTCTCGCAGGAAGCTGGGCTGGAGAGTCTCCGTAAGGGGGGGGCCCGACGCCGCGGTAAGGGCGACCCCAGGGGTCACGATTAAGACCCTCCAGCATCTCCTCTCTCTTTTCTTCTTTGGCGCGGCTAATGGCCAGCTTCAGAGTTTTCCGCACCTGTCGGTACTCCTCATGAAGCCGGTCCTCCTCACCGTCTCCACGGTGACGCGGCGGACTGCGCGTGTAGGACCTCCGGGCACGTGTACAGGCCGCACGGAGGTCCGCCAGCTCCTGGGACCACCAGTAGACCTCCTTCCTTGGAGAATACTAGCCATCCTGTGTCAAGGCGTGCAGTGCAAGTTACCCAGCCACCCAGCATTACCCAGCTAAGTGTGCATTAGGTTCGTTTTAAATGTTAGAACATAAATATCAAAATGTGGTAAACTATTTTAACTTAACTACGAACATTTTGTCATAATGGCGTCTGCCGTTTACTTAGTGTTTTTATTTTTGCTTTTGGAATATGTTTTATATCAAAATATTAGAAAAATAGTATTATTTTATGAGAGAATTTTATGTTAGAATATTTCCTATGCTTTTCCAATGTATTGCGAACCCCGTTTATTGCAGACTGAAAATTACGAGAGCTGTTGGCACTACAACTTGACCTTGACAACTGACGCCGGCAGTTTGGTTACTGTGCCAAAATGGCTTAGTTTTACTTGCCTCACTTATCTTACGTGTTCTCGTTTTTTGGTGTTATTATTCTAAGATTCAGAATATGTAGGCACAATAAGTAAGTAGTTGGCGACGAGAACAAAGTGGAAACCTTTGAATAAATTTATAGTGGTTTTTTTTGTGTTTTTTTTTAATTTTTTTTTATTTTAGTAGATACTTTTACCCAGTGATTACTTTTTGATTTGAAACGTCTAATGCTAAGGGTCAGATACAACGGCCGTATATAAATATAATATTTATTTTT